TTGGGTTTCCGAGGCAGTATCACTACGGAAGTAGGATTGCCCAACCTTCCTTCCGAGGAGTGGCTGGTGGGTTTGAACCGCCAGCTGTCTGGTTAGCAGGCAAGTGTCTTAGCCACTATAGTGGGGAATATTATACATACATATATATATAATTTTATTCCTTTTATTTTTATTCTAAATTTTAAGAAACAACCAAAAATGCCCTAACGTGAAAACACAGTAAGATCAAACCCCTTGAGGGCAGGAAGGCTTACCTTTTAATTCCTAGTACTTGGCCCAAGGCATGCACAAAGTAATAGCCACTGCAATCAGATGATTCCCACTCATAAAGACCCCTATTGGGTTTCCAAGGCTGTAAATCTTTATGGAAGTAGATTGCCTCATCTTCCTCCCATGGAGCAGCTGGTGAGTTGGTCTTCTGGTTAGCAGCCAAAATGCCTTACCCACTATGCTACTGGGAGATCCTATATACAAAGTAAATAGGTGGAAATATAGTCTTTAATTGAATTTGTTTTACAAAAGCTTTGCCAAGGGTTGATTGTAGAGAGCCATGTGCATCTTCTCATACATCATCAGGAAGAGGATCAAGAATTATGTTGATGCCTTTGTGTGGGATGACATTATGTCCTGGTTTCCCCAATATAGTCCTGGTTTATGCCTGTTGCTCTGCATATCCAATCTGATTTAACACTTGTTCCGGATGTAGCTTGGTTTTGTTTTTTAGAGAAAATACTATTTTTGAAAATGATTTTTCAACAATGCAATTTTATAGGTCTATCAATATGGTGAACTAAGTTGTCAGCCAAATAAATAGTTAAAAACTTACATACCTTTGTTTTTTTGTTCGTTTGGTTTGGTTTGGTTTTTTTTTTTTATTCATCCCCTTTGTTCTCAGAAATATCCCAGTTTGGAATGTAAATTACGTGATTGGGGAGAATTGTTTGCCTTGTACCTAGTGATTTAATTATAACCTTAAGTATTTTCCAAATTGTGTTCCACGTGCCACAAGACATCATTGCCTGGTGTGTGAAGGAAGTGTTTAAAGGGCCAATACATTTTGAAGCCCTGGTGGCTGAGTGGCCAAGCAATTGGCTGCTAAGGAAGGTTGGTGGTTCAAACCCACCAGTGGCTTCATGGGAGATAAGACTTGGTGATCTGCTCCAGTAAAGAATATAGCCTAGGAATCTCTATGGGGGAGTTTTACTCTTATATAGTATCCATACGAGTCTGAGTCTATTTGACAGCATACAACAACAATAACATTTAGGAAACACAATTCAATGTAGTTCTCTGCCATAGAACTTCTCAGAATCTTCAATATGTTTCTGTGTGTTCTAGATCTCTACAACTATGTTACATTTTCAAACTTACTTGATTACATTGGATCTTATTAGCTTTCTATGAGACTTAGTTTGTGAAATGCAGTTCTTGATGACAGAAAAACTTACAAGGATGTTCCTAATTATTCCTTTTCATGATCTAGGGAGAACAGCTTGGACCTTGCCCACTGTATGTTAGGTGCTTTCACAATCCTCTAGTTTAAATATTCACTTTCTTTCCCTTTGGAAACCTAAGAAGACAGATATTTCACCCCATATAATGAGCTAATTAATTGTCTGAAGATGAGGTTAATGCTCCTTGCATCTAGTTAGTACACAAATTTTTGAACATGTATTTGTTTACTTGCACAGTTATTTTCTTCTTCATACCGTTTTTTAAGTATAGAACTTAGGAGCAACCAAGTCCTTGAAAAATAAAAACAAACAAAAAAACCAAACTCACTGTTGCCCAGTTGTTTCCGACTCATAGCGACCCCACTTGGGTTTCCCAGACCGTAACTCTACGGAAGTAGATTGTCAAACCCTTAGAAGAAACTGTATTATTTCAATGAACACTAGATGGCAAAGCAAACACCTAAGTGCAACTGGAACGTGGTGGACGTGGTGGTGTCAATGGTGCGTGGGCGTGTTTGTGTGTACCATGATCTGACATGATAGGAGCATTTTGTTATTTTGTAAAACTAAATAATTCCTGAACAATACTTTCTTCATTGAGAACAAATGAAAAGCTTTGCCTCCTTTAGACATAATTCTACCGCTACTGATGTGTATTTATTTTTCATTGTTTGAAGGACTCAGGATCGTGATAACATCGTCAAAGTGGCCACTTCACCTCAGAAAGGTGACAAGGGGTGAGATCTCAGAGCTTTTGAGCTTGTTGTTTTCTTCTCTTTATGCTTCAAAAATGTTTAACCTTTAAAGTTTCAAATATGAACAAAATCTCAACGCTATTTATTACATGTGATGTAAAGGAAGATAGATTAGTGTAGGAGCTCTGGTAGCGTAGTGCCCAAGGCGTTTGACTGCGAACCAGAAGGCTGGCAGTTCAAACCCACCAGTCACTCCTCCGGAAAACTGGGCACTACTTCTGTAGTGATACCACCTCCGAAACCCAAGAAGTGGTCACTATGAGTTGGGTCCAACTCCACGGCAGTGCATTTGGTTTGGTTTTGGTTTTGGATCAGCATAATGTATCAATCAGACAGTGTTTCACTGCTGTTCATAAGGTTTGGTAAAGTGGAGGGTTAGCGAAAAAGGGGAAGATCCTCAATGAGGTGGATTGACACAGGGGCTGCTAGAGTGGGCTCAGGTATAACAAGGATTGTGAGGCTGGGCCAGGACCAGGCAGTGTATCTTTCTGTTGTACATAGGGTCTCTATGAGTGTATCTTTTTGTTATACATAGGGAACTCCACATCACTTCACAACAACAACAAGAATTAGTGTATCTAAGTAAAAAGGCCCCTGAATAATGGATAGTCATGGAATTTATGGACTCTCTTCTTGCTCTGCTTTCTCTTCTGTTGAATTTACTCATCTCTGTTACTTCAACTGTCCCCAGTTCTTATCTCATTCTAAATCTAGTCCTGTGTTTACATTGCTGACCCAGATCTCAGCTTATCTGTCTTTCTAGCAACCTCTATTTAGGATGTCCTAGGCCATCCCCATGAGGGGTTGTGG